AAGGGAGTACTAAAGATGATTAAAATGTTCTGTATGAAATACACAAAAGTTCAATAAAAAAAAAAGGCCAGGCATGGTGGCGTATGCCTGTAGCCCCAGCACTTGGGAGGCAGAGGCAGGTGGATCTCTGAGAGTTCCAGGCTAGTGTGGTCTACATAGTAAGTTCCAGGTCAGCTGGGAGTACAGGGAGACTGTTTCAAAAAGACATAAAAAAAAAAAGTTGGGTATGGCAGCTCATGTCTATAATCCCAGTATTTGGGAGGTGGAGGAAAGATTAGGATTTCAAGGACAGCCTCAGGTACATATTGAGTTCTAGGCCAGCCCAGGCTGCATAAGACCTTGTCTCAAAAATTAGCAAGACAACAACAACAAAAACCCTCATCTGAACAGCAAGTTCTTGATCCCAGGGATTTAAGGAAAATTTAACACACAAAAATGAAAGCGCCAGAAGTCAAAGTCACCTGTGATTTTAGTTATGCATAAAACCAAAACAGCTGGATCATGAGTTCAAGGCCAATGTGAGCACTCAAAAAAGATTAGTAAACAAGGGCCGGAGACGTAGCTCAGAAGTAGAACATTTGCTTAGCATGCATAGGGCATGGGGTCTATCCCCAGCACAGCAAAAATAAGCATTCAAGTAAAATATAAAGTTCCTCAAACAATACCCAGAATATACAATAAATTTTAGGTGGCTACTGTACATGCCAGCAATGCTCAACATTTTAAAGTTGGCTTAACAAGCATCATTAAAGAATAAATTTTTTTATTAATTTACTTGTGTATGCACCTGCCTGCACTGTGGTTAGAGGACAAGCTGAGGGAGTCATTTTTCTACTTTGACCAATTGGATCTGCAGGATTGAACTCAGGTCATTAGGCTTGGCACCAAGTGCCTTTACATTGAGCCATCTCACCAGCACACAAGCATTTTCTTAATAGAATGCTACAAATTATTTATCCTGCTACTGCTTGTTTAAACTGGGATTTTAAATGGGAAAATACACCCCCCCTTGGGTATGGCCTTATTCACTATTACTGTTCTTAATTTTCAAATTCTGAACAGTATCAGGTAACGTTAAGCATGTGAGGCAAGGAAGAAAGAAAAGAGAACTTAGGTTTGCATTCCAATTAGGTACCTGCCTGTGTCCTTTGGGCAGTGAGGTCATAATATCCTAGTATTTGTGAGTTTACAACTGAACATTCTGCAAACCTCAGGAGACTATTCTTTCAACAGAATACATCTCTGTCCCCATTCCCCTTTCTATCTAGATGTTGCCTTCCTGAGTCCCCTCACATAAATTCTAGAGAGAGCAACAGATTCTGGCCTCAAAAGAGATTGAAAAACCCAGACCAACAACTCTGAAGCCACCTAAAGCTGATGAATAGGTAGTAAGCTAAGACAAGGATGTGGGTAAAATCCCTAATCTTCCACATATGCAGAGTTGTAAGTTAGAATGAGTAGTGTGGCCTTCCAAGTGTAGAGGTTAATCACTCTGCCTAATAGAAAGATGGACGTTTTCATACATTCTACCTGGAGCAATACATCAGTGGGTGACCTGCTTTCTAAAATAGTGGACAGTGATGTAAAAGCTGATCCTTTGATGAATGTTGTTAACTTCAGTACTAGTAACCAGTCTCAGGTATCAAAAGGACATGCACAGCTCTAATCACACCTCAAAGGAGCCACTGGCCAATGTCTGGGTCAGGAAAGTCCCTGTGGAGGACCCTATACCAGGTAGCATCCTCTCTGAGTACCTGGAGAATCAGCCTTCCTGTTCTGCAAACCTCACTTAATTCAAAGTATCATTTCCTTTGTTCAGTATGAAACATAAAGGTATCAATATCACAGTGAGAACACTTTAGATGTAACTGAATTTTATTCACTTGGCTATTACATAGCAAATAAACACTGGGTGAGAACTGCTCCAGCATCCACCTGGTTTGTGGATCTTGACTGCACCTTTCATTCTCAACCCAGAATCCTGACAGGTCAAAATGCTTACCTGTGACTTTCTTACTGTCAGTGGAATTAACAAGGCGATTAAGACTGTCAAATACACTGGGCATGGTGGCGTATGCCTTTAGTCCCACTAGGAAGACAGAGGCAGATGGATCTCTGAGTTCACAGCCAGCCTGGTCTACATAGTGAATTCCAAGACAGCCAGGGCTACACAGTAAGACCCTGGTTTTTTTGTTTGTCTTTTTGAGACAGGGTCTCCCTGTAGTCCCAGCTGACCTGAACTCACTATGTAGACCAGGCTGGCCTTG